TTTATGCATTATCATGTGAGGGAGAGTGTAAAGCACGAATGGTGATGACGTGCCATATTATTGAGAGTAAAAGTATGAAGGGTGATGCCGTGCCATATCATTGTGAGTAAAAGCACGAAGGGTGATGTCGTGCCATGTCATGTGAATAAAAGCACGAAGGGTGATGCCGTACCATTGTATTTATATTATTACGCTTTTATGTTACGGTGAGTTCATGGCACGAAGGGTGTTTCAGTGCAAGTGAGGACGGGAGACATGCATTATGTTGTGATATTTCTTTATTTAAAAGCACGAGGGGTAATACCGTACCATATTATGTGAGTAGAAGCACGAAGGGTGATGCCTTGCCATTATATTTATATTATTACACTTTCATGATATGGTGAGTTCGTGGCATGAAAGGTGTTTCCGTGCAAGTGAGGACGCGAGACATGCATTATGTTGTGATATTTCTTTCTTGCATATACCTTCATGTCTTTACCTGGAGTTGTTATTGTCATGTTCATGGTTCTTATGTGATATGTCATTACTGTTCTGTCTTTACCCTCTATCACCTTGTTGTCATGCTATCATGCCTTCTATTTGCTTAAACTTGCTAATATCATGCCTATTTCCTGTTGTTAGGATTTCATCCATGCCATCTGTTTTGTTGCACTTAAACGTAGGTCTTCTTCCATACTAGTCGTTCTTGTCCCTACTTGCTAACTTATAAAGATCATTTGTCCGCTTCCTTATTTGTCATATTTGTCTTCATGCCTTCACCTTGCTAGTTAGTCAAAATTACATTCCTTTTTCCTAATCATTGTCATTACCTATATGCTTTCTGTTCAGTCTGTTGCTAATGTTCTCATGTACACTCTCGTCCCCCATAGTTATTTGCGTATTTTCCACTATCATTTCTGTTATCGGCATTCATGTCATTTGGCTGGTACTGCTTTACGCATAATTGGTGAGGATGAGATAAATGCACGAAGGGTATTGCCGTGCCGTTGAATTTGATGTCTTTGGGTATATTTTCACATTATGAAAGTTTTGATGTGATTGTTGTGATTTATTGGCTTTCGCTCTCAGGAAAGGATTGGGTGAGATTTTGATACCTGTTGAATTGTGTTTTCCCTTAGTACTCCGTTATTGCTTTGTATAATCATTTCGTGTCCTCTACTATGTTGTGCTGTAGTATAGTTTTATTGTTAGTTACATTACAAGTTTTATCAATGAGCATCTTTTAACCAAAGCCTCTTCACTACTTCGACGATGTTAGACAAGATATTTACTCAGTACATGGGGTCGGTTGTACTGATACTACGCTTATGCACATTGTGTGCACATATTGGGTGTTGTTGTTGCTGTGTTCTATGGTTGCCGGGATTGGAGATGTACCTGCGTTCCTGTTGTAGCTGCCTTTTGTTCATGGTAGCCCTAAATTTATAAAAAAAACTCTGTTTATGTATTTTTCAAACAGAAGATGTATTTACTTCATATCAACTTGTAAATTCTATTCTTAGAAGCTCATGATTTGTACTACCAGTCCTTGGGGATGTATAAGACTTAGATAACTCATTTGTTAAATTGTGTTATTAAATTAATTGAAAATGAAAAATCGTTAATTGGCTTACCTAACGGGTTGGGTTAGGTGCCATCACGACTAGTGAATTCCGGGTCGTGACACCTCCGATGTACATAATTGTTAGTCTCTTTTTCTTTTATAAATACTTTCAATAATTAATTACCTAAAAGACATCACCAATGCATGTTAACTTTTATCTTTTTTTTTTTTTTTACTTTTAAAGAGTTTTGATTTAACTTTAGGTATAAATTTCTAGAAGTCATAATTTTCAGTGGTAATGTTAATTTAAAAATAAATTAATTTACATCCATAATATGTAAAATTCTAACTATAAATGATATTTAAACTTTAAATAAAACTAATATACTTGAAACTTTGAAATAACTATAAATTTGAAAAATTATCCTCAGCGAACTTGATTTTGGAACTTCAAAATCATTAATGGTGAGTTTAAGGTAGTGTTAACTTTTATTTGGTCTTGAATGTATATGTTAGAAAGAATTCAGACTTAGACCAATAAGAATCTAGCTAGTATATTTACATAAGAAAAGGTTTCACTTATCGTATTTATAGTTTTGATGAATTTTAAATGAACAAATAAGAATTCTATATACTTAAGTTACAAAGAACAAATTTCACATGCTAAAAACAGACATCTAATATTTAAATTTAAAAAAAAATCATGTTAGACTCAAACCAAGAAAAGAAAAAAAGAATAGAGCAGAACAAGTTCTTAAACTTTTAATATCTTTTGTTATAAAAATAGCTTAACCTAATTTTTCTACATAAAATATTAATTTTAGAATCTTGATACATTAAATTATATTATATTTTTTTTATTGTCTTGAAAAATTAAAAATTGTTTTATTCCTTATACAATTATTAGCATAAAGTTTTTATACTTCATTTATACCATTATATGCGTTACAATCCCATTACAATTTTATTATTTTTTTTGTACTATGTTATTATTAATATAATATTAATAAAAGAGACATTGAGTGAGATATAGCAACATAACATATTTTTTATATTTTATATAATAATGATAATAAAATCTCTAAACTCCAAATACCATATAACTAATTCAACCAAATATCATCTTATATTGAATTTAGGTATTGTATAAATGTAATAACATTCATTTTGATCAGTTGAACAAATATCACATTTAGTATAACATCAATTGCTAATTTTTAATTATTTTGTACAGGGTATAGATGACATGAAAGCTCTAGGCGGAGATGGCTTCAATGCCTATTTTTTCAAACAAGCATGGTCAGTAATAGGGAAGGATGTTACCACTGTTGTATTGTATTTCTTTAATACTATTTTTATGTATAAACGTATTAACTGCACATTAGTGACCCATATCCCTAAAGTAAAAACCCCCTCAACTGTTAAGGAGTTTAGACCAATTTTCTGTTGTACAGTACTTTACAAAGTGATATTTAAGATCTTAACTAGTAGGCTTCAAAGTGTAATGGATATCCTTGTAGGCAATTGCCAATCAACTTTTGTGCCTGGGAGAGTAATTAGTGATAATATTATCCTCAGCCATGAGTTGGTTAAAGGTTACGGGAGGAGGGGTATATCTCCAAGGTGCATGGTCAAGGTTGATATGCAGAAAGCATATGACTCATTGGAATGGGATTTTATTGAGCAAATTTTGGTAAATTTGAACTTTCCTGTACATACAATGGGTGATGAAGTGCCTAAGTAATGTCTCCTACTCCATTTGTATTAATGGATGGCCTACAGAACCATTTGCTGCTAAAAGAGGGCTGAGACAGGGTGATCCCATGTCACCATTCCTCTTTGTCTTGGCCATGGAATATTTTTCTAGGCTTCTGAAGAGATTGCATGATATTTCAAATTTTAACTATCATCGTAGATGCTCAAAGCTTCAACTATTTCAATTGGGATTTGCTGACGATCTACTCATGTTTTGTAGAGGAGATGTAGTTTATATCCAGCTGCTTTTTGAGTGCTTTCAGGAGTTTTCTAAAGCCTCTGGTCTTGTTGCTAATAAGGAAAAAAGTTCTGTATACTTTGGGGGAGTAGATATGGTCACACAACAGGCTATCCTAGATCTACTCGAGTTTTTCAAAGGTGATATGCCATTCAGATATTTAGGAGTGCCACTTAGTACTAAAAGATTATCGGTCATCTAGTGTCAACCAATACTTGAAAGAATGCTGGGAAGGGTCACAAGCTGGACATCAAAATTCTTGTCCTATGCAGGGAGGGTACAATTGATTAAGAATGTACTTTTCTCCATTCAAGTTTTTTGGTCATAAGTGTTTGTATTGCCGAAAAAAGTAATAAAACTCATTGAAGCTACATGTAGAAAATTTCTATGGACGGGAGGCGTAGAGTTGACTAAGAAGGCATTGCTTGCTTGGGAGAAGATATGTTACCCTAACGTTGCTGGTAGTTTAAACATCTTGGATATTACTATATGGAATAGGGCATCCATTAGCAAGCTATTGTGGAATCTTTGTTGCAAAAAGGACAAGATGTGGGTAAAATGGGTACACTCATATTACATAAAGGAGCAGCAAATACGGGAGATTATGCCCACACAAGTATCATGGGTGGTACAGAAGATTCCGAAGATCAGAAGCTATGTCCAAAAAGCTGGGATAATGGAGGCCGATCTAAGGAACACGACACAGTTCTCTGTAAAGAAGATGTGTATACTTATGAGAGGAGACTTCCCTAAAGTGCAATGGAGGAAGATTGTCTGCAATAATCTTGGTTTTGAAAAGTGAATCTTTATTCTTAGGCTTGCAGCTCATGAAAAACTAGCTACAAAGGATAAATTGATGAAGTGGGGTGTTATAAGTGGCCAAGAGTGCCCATTGTGCTTAACTCAGAATGAGAGCATAAATCACATATTCTTCCAAATGTGACATGTCAACTCAAGTGTGGTGTAAACTATTACAATGGCAAGGGATTAACAGAGCCGCCATGCCTTGGCTCGAGGAGCTGAAATGGACAGAAGACTATGCTAGAGGAAGAAGCACAACTGCAGAAATTTATCGAATGACACTGGCAGCAGGTGTGTATCACTTGTGGATAGAAAGGAATCAAAGAGTATTTCAAGCTAAGCAAACAGATCCGAAAACTATTATCATGCGGATTATTCAGGAAATTTTTTATATAGGATCCATGAGGAGTAGACTATAAGTAACATTTACAAAGTTCAATTTTTATCATGTGCAGAGGGAGCTTGGTAGTTTCAGGTGGTTAGTAGTACTTGATGTCATAGTTGGTTAGTTGCTTTGTTGCGGTTTGGAGATGTCAAATTGGAATAGTTTAGTTCTGCTTGTACATATCACAAATGGTTATAAAAAAATTTTATTTACCCAAAAAAAAAAAAAAAAAGTTATTCTTCTAGCACGTTTTATATTAATTGAAGTACGTAATTCTGTGATCTAAAACACATTAAACCTACTACTTTTCAACCCATTGGTCGTCAGCTCCTCTTGCCGACTCCTAATTTACCTGTGTTTCCTCAATCTCCGTCTCTTCTGTTAATTCGTTTCCTCTTCTTTGATTTTCTCGATTTCTTCTCCCCTTTCCAAAACCCTGTTCTCCATATTTCTCAATTCCAATTTTCTTCATTCAATTTATCAATTTTTTCGCACATAGATCAGCCATATTGTTTCTCTCTGAATTTCTTTTACCCTTTTACAAACAAAAATCCCTGAATTCCCAATTTCCTTATTTACTAAATTCGTCAAATAATAAGCACACAGATCAGCGATGATGATGCTAGTAAACTGTTCCAATTGTCATACACCATTACAGCTACCACCAGGTGCACGATCCATTCGCTGTGCGATTTGTCAGGCAGTAACACAGTTGGCTGATCCACGTACTGCTCCTCCGCCATCATCTAATCAATACAATCACCCACCACCTGCTTCCTCTCCCTCTCCCTACAACCACGCACCTCCCGGTCCCCCACCCAATGCTCATGGTAGAAAGAAAGCTGTGATTGTTGGTATATCCTATAGGTACTCTAGGCATGAGCTGAAAGGGTGTCTCAATGATGCTAAGTGCATGAGACATCTCTTGATGAACAAGTTCCATTTTCCTGAGTCCTCCATTCTAATGCTTACCGGTAAAATACCCAATCTTGATTACTTTTCATCTGTTAGCAGTTTTATATATTAACCTTGTGTATAAACTAGGATAGTTTCTTTGATCTCGTTTTAAAATTGTTTTGTTGCTTAGGATTAGGAGTTCATTTAGCTGAGGGAATTAGCTTGGGATTGAGACACAGTTGATTGATATTACTTTTTGGATATATAATGAAAGGAAAAATTGGGGCAAGACTATCTATTTCTGCTCGACCTTAATATTTATGTTTTTTTTCTAGGACCTTCAGCAAAGGGACTGTTCAGATAGTTTTTACAGCTGAGTTGGTAGTTGTATCCTAGGAAAATTGAAACTGGTAGTTACTTTGTTCAGAATTGTAGTGAAAGAGTGTTATCTTAATAGGCTGTGATTGTTGTGAGATTAATGTACCAAGAAACAGTGTTTTATCGAGTATTAATGATATAAGCTTGTGGAACGGATAATGTATGATCTGCAGTTTAGGGGAGTAATACATGGCTTTTCTTATTCTATATTTGGGAGGCATATATGCTAGGAATTCCTTGCTGTAGGCAAGGTGGCTGCCACAATGAGCTGAATGCTTTTCTAGTAAGTTTAGGGAAGAGTAGTTTAAAAATTAATATAAATCAAGCTGCCAATGTAAATAACACTACATAAGCTGATACGATAGCAACTTTATCTAAAACAAAAACTTCATATGGTGTCAAGCGGAACTTTGATTGATTGATCTTCACCTCCCGGAAGATACCAGATTGCAGACAAGTAAGATTATGGTTATGTTTTCTTTTTTGGGCAAATCGATACACAAAAACCCTTTTCCCTATATGCGTATGGTTCCCAAACAATGTGAAATGCGCAAATTACCTTTCCAAAGTCCCTTTTAAGCGTAGGAATGATTGGTAATGTTTCGGTGCTCAAGGGATAGCCTAGCGTGGTAAGGGTCATCCACCTTCAACTATAAGGGTGGTTAAAGTCACCAAGGGAGCAACTGAGGAAAAGCCACTATTGGGCTCCTAGGTAGGGGTGGCGGATGTCTTCAAAATCTAACATCTGACATTAAGGATATTGGTGGACCAGGAGTCGTGTTAATAGCTTTGTTATCATTGTTTTCTCTTTATTAGTTAGTCTTGGAATCTCTAGAGTCTTTTAATAACTAGCAGCATTCTAAGGCATTACATTTTCCTTTGTACCTAACAAATTTTCAAGGATGAAAAGTATTATGATTTTAGGTCCACACTCTTCTATTGGCTGAAATAATTATTTATCATAGTTCATCCATTGTACCTTATCTTGTCTAAATTCATGATGCAGAAGAGGAGACCGACCCATACAGAACTCCGACTAAACAGAACATGCGCATGGCATTATATTGGCTTGTACAAGGTTGCCAACCGGGAGACTCGCTGCTATTTCATTATTCTGGTCATGGCTCAAGGCAAAGGAATTACAATGGAGATGAAGTGGATGGATATGATGAAACTTTATGTCCCCTGGACTTCGAAACTCAGGGTATGATTGTTGATGATGAAATCAATGAGACAATTGTCAAGCCTCTTCCTCACGGAGTAAAGCTTCATGCAATAATAGATGCTTGCCACAGTGGAACCGTTCTAGACCTGCCATTTCTTTGCAGAATGAGTAGGTAGGTCACTGCTCCTTAGTAATTTGTGGTATCTTTCTTTGGTAGAAGTTGTTGTCTATTGTTTGAAACATTTAAGAGTAACTGGATGTACAAGAGGTTGAATTTCGTGAAATATGCTTAATGGGTATTCATTTGACACCTATGAGAACCTAACCCGGATCAAAGGTTACGGAAGTATATGTTGTTCTGTTTCATCTAAGGTTGGGGCAGATAAATGAGAGCTGTCTCACAAATAAGTTCTTCTGACATTTGAGAAATGATATGTTCCATGTCCATGAACGATTTTTCAGTTCGAGTTTAATTGATTTGACTAAACAGAAAAATCTACAAATATCATGAAGTTAGGCAATACATATGGTGCTATATGTTACTGTCCTGATTTATAAGACATCTTGGGATTATCCATCATTGAAAATGTTTTATGCTTTTTTCGTTTTTTAGAAGTCATATCAACTACTTGACCATTCTAATGACTATTATTCCCTTAACCATCAATTATCTTCAGCTTTTTTTAGATTCCACTCGTTTTTACGATAACGCTTATTCTTTTAACTTCCTGGAAATAGGAGCGGACAATATGTGTGGGAAGACCATCGTCCTCGTTCTGGTATTTGGAAAGGAACTAATGGTGGTGAAGTAATCTCTTTTAGTGGTTGTGATGATAATCAAACTTCTGCTGATACATCTGTAAGTTTGATTAATCTTATTCCGATTTAAGTAGAAATTATTTGGAGACACCTAATGACTTTGATCTGCAGGCTCTTTCAAAAGTAACTTCAACGGGTGCCATGACTTTCTGTTTCATTCAAGCAATTGAGCGCGGTCATGGAACCACATACGGAAGTATATTGACCGCAATGCGAAACGCCATTCGGCAAGCCGGAAGTTCAGGAGGTGACTTTGGTGGCGGTGCTGTCACATCTCTCATTTCCATGCTTTTGACAGGTGGTAGTGTTGGTATGGGTGGAGGCTTTAGTCAGGTAACTTCAGCATATTTAATTAATGTACTACTAAAGTGTAATGCATTTTTTTACTTAATTTTCCTGAATTATAGAATTCAAATGTAGTTCTTGACCTTTTCTCTTTTATGTCGCACTTTTTCCAGGAGCCCCAGTTAACAGCTTGCCAGCCATTTGATGTGTATGCTAAGCCATTCTCCTTGTGAAACTCCTTCTGGCCTCCCCCTTCCTTGGTGTGTTTGGATTTTGGATTGTTTGTAAAGATAGAAATTTTATCGGCCTCTATAATATGCTGCTTATGCATGAGAATGCGAATAGTTTTCTGATGGTTCTTAATAATGGAATTATTGTCAACATAGCTGCCCCTTTAACTGTTGCAGTATCTACTGATTTACTGAATTTTCTTAAGGACCTTTGTTCAAGAAATTAACTGAGATGTGACCCTTTTTACTATTGGTTGTTCAGACTTCAGAAATTTGATGCTTACATTCGCTTTTGCTCCTCTGTTTGTTAAAAAAGTTGTGTTTGAAACCTTTCTTGGATTAGACTACACACCACCTCTTGGCCTTTGCACGAGATGTGAAGGCTTGGACGCCGAGTCTCAGAATACTATTTTTGATCCTTGTCTTTTCTAAATTTCTTCTTTTTTTAATGATCTATTATTTTCTCTATGAATTCCTGTAAATATTTTTCTTTTATTCAATCCATTAATCATACAAGTTTTAGTGGAGATGTCTACCTACTCCCTGAAGTGTCAGGCAAGGATTACTTAGGGCAGCTTGCATACTCAGTTTTTGATCTTTGAAGAAGTGTTTGCTTGAGCCCTTCTCAAAATAAATAAATAAATACTTGGTCATTGTTATGTTTGTATTAATTACTCAGGATACAGGAGAGACCAAAGGAATTTGCTGCAAGGTTTGAGTAACCTGGTATCTGTTTTTCTTATTTGTGAAAATTGCGGTTTTAGTTCCTAGTTTTTAATCAGATGGTACAGTTTTTCTTTGTCCTATTTTTCCTTAATGTGCTTGTAATACTATTAAAAAAAAATGCAAAAATGGGATCTTAATATGTGAATTGAAAGTTGTGTGTCTTTCACATAACACACTATGATTTATATATTATTCATTGTTGGACTTAATTGATTTTAAAATATACCATTTGCTTATTATATAGCAAACTTATTTAAGTTTTACTACATTTAGTTGTCTTATGCACGGTAATGTTTATTTCTTTTTTGGACCTATAAACTAAGAGCTCATTTGGATTGACTTATTTTAAGTGTTTTTAAGTCATTTTGTAGTGTTTGGATAAAATAAAAAGCATTTTAAAGCTAAAATAACAAAAATAAGCCAAAAGCCACAAGCTAGAATTCCTAACATATGAGTTTCAGCTTAAAAGGCACTTAAAACAAGCACATCCAAACGGGCTCTAAGTATTAGAAGCAGAATTATGTTTGAAATTATTAAAACTAGTGGAGCAAATTTTTATTATGTCTACTATGAGAAAAAATCAGGTGAGTGAGTATTAATGGAATTCTTTTTATTTTATTTTCTTTCCTATCCTTTACCGTATTTTGTTGACGACGATGAATAAGATACAGGAAGTATAGAATGTTTTCTTTTCCACCCATCCGCAGATGGAACAGGGGAGAAGTAGCCCTTTAAATGTATTACTGATTTCATATTCTTCTCCTCAGTTTTATATTGTATAACTTTTTTTTTAAGTATTGATAATCAATTTTTTTTTTTCATCCAAAGGAGAATATTATTATATATCAATAAGTAGCATTAAAATGGACTTTGGGAATTTTT